AGAGAATACAAGAATAAGCGCGTAAATGCTAACCAACTCAGTCAGTCATTCAGTAACAACGTAGAACTTCGTACGTACGTACATCAGTTCGAGTTGCCACACCACATTAGCACAGAGATGCAGTTGTCGATTCAAATCCCGTAGTGGTAGAGGTAATAAGAGTATAAGCAGTAATCGGGAAGATTAGGGTTTGGAGATGTTATTTAAAGAGTATAATCCAGTGAAATAAATTTGGAAAGAGGAAAAAAGGGACATGAAGAATTCAGAAGATTAGAATTTGGGAGAACACAGAGAGTGGATGCACCTGCGCCATTGCAAACGATTTTGAGCCATGTCATTCAGGGTCTCTAACCATCGGTTGCTACCATCTCGCGGTCCCCAACCAGGTAGTCTACACCTACCAACATGACTCAGTCCACTTGTCAGTGACTTCATGGACTTGTGCCATGTTTTGGTTTGGCCGCCCCTAGCTTTCTTCCAACCTACTCCTATACCACTGAACATAGCACGTCGAGGCAGTCGGTCGTTGGGCATACGTAACACGTGTCCCAGCCATCTCAACTGATGAAGTTTCACTACTTCATCAATTGATTTGCCATCCTTACCTAGTACCCGTTTCCTAACAACTGTGTTACTTACTCGATGGTCCCATGATATACGAGCAATGTTTCGAAGACACCTATGATCAAATACTAGTAACCTACGGATATCCTCTACTCTTACCGGCCATGTTTCACTGCCATAAAGTAGGACGGAACGAACTGCTGCGCAGTAAACACGTCCTTTGGTTGATAGACGGATATCTCGCCTACGCCATAAATGACGCAAGTTGGCAAAAGCTAGTCGAGCCTTCTGTATCCGTGCTGAGATTTCGTCACACACTAAACCACAAGGGCTGATGAGACTTCCAAGATAAGTGAAGCGGTCGACACACTCAACTACTTCACTCCCTATCACTAGTTCGGGTGTCGATGTAACCCAATCCTGAAGCAACATTTTGCATTTCGAGGGAGAGAATCGCATCCCGAACATGCTTGCATTGTTGCTTAGAGTGGTCAGAAGACTCTGCATTTTGTCAGCGTCTTCACCAAATAAAACTATGTCATCAGCATATTCTAAGTCAACAAGTGAACCTCCGGTAGAAGTTCAACCCCTGGAAATTTAGATGAGGAGAGTGTTATCTCTAAAAGTACGTCGACCACAAAGTTGAACAAGAATGGGGAGAGTGGACAGCCCTGACGAACACCACTTGAGGTAATCAATTCTGATGACAGTTCGCCATAAGCTCTCACTCTACCAGTTGTGTTCGAGTAGAGAGCCTTTATAAGGTTAATGTACTTCTTTGGTACTCCTTTCAGTGACAAACACTGCCATAGAACCTCACGATCAACAGAGTCGAATGCCGCCTTAAGGTCGAGAAATACTACCATTGTGGGGCGTCTGAATGTGTGTCTGTGTTCTAGAACCTGACGTAGTGTGAATATCTGATCTATACAACCACGTCCAGGTCGAAAACCAGCCTGGTTTTCTCTAGTCTGCTCTTCACGAGCTTTGATTAGGCGTCGAAGTATTATTGAAGCTAATATTTTAGACACTATATTAGTCAAACTGATTCCTCTGTGATTGTCACAAGAGGACTTTTGTCCTTTCTTATAGACTGGCACAATCAGTGATTGAGACCAGTCAGATGGGATTACGTCCAGTTCCCAAATTCTACCTAAGACCTCAGTTAATCTCATTGCTAATACTGGACCACCATCCTTAAAAATCTCAGGAGTAAACCTGTCAGGGCCTGCTGCTCTCCCTCGTTTCAGATTTCCTATGGCTTTTTCAACTTCGTAAAGGGACGGAGGACCTACATTAACTTGCCATTCAGGTTGACTGGAGATCGTGGGAAACCGAAGTGTGGCTGAAGGCCAGTTGAACTGATCCCTAAAGTGTTCTGCCCATCGATCCAATCTCCTGGATTGAGAATGAATAATATGTCCATCTTTCTCTGAGATTGTTTCGCTAACGGTCGGGTTCCTAATTCCGGTTTCCTTAACGAGTCTGAACAATTGTCTGCTATTACCTATTGCCGCTGCCTTTTCCATCTCTCTTGCTTTCGCTACCCACCACTGTTCGCGATCATTGCGTAGACTTCTTGTCAGCTTGCGCTTAAGCTGACTCCGCTCTTCATTATGTTCAGAGCCAGGTGGAATGAGTTTCCGAGCATCTATCAGTGCGATAGATGCTGCTGAGATCCAGTGTTGCTCCCTAACCTTCTGGTTTACCTTACTAGCAGATATCACTGCTGTTTCCACAGCTTTTCGGATATCATTCCATGCTGCATCGGGGTGGGCATCACATACATGGCTGCCTAACTGTTTTCCTAGTTGTTCCTGAAATATACTCTTAGCTTGACTATCATTAAGTAGGCCCTAAGAGGTTTCCTTGCAGCGTCTTTCCTACGTCCAGTAAGACGCAAGCAAATACGCGCTCGCACTAGAGCATGATCTGAATCTAGGCATGTGCTCCAGAATGAGCGACAGTCTTCTATCGAGCCCCTCCATCGGTGGCTGATAGCGATGTGATCTATTTGGGTCCAACGTTGGGACGAATTAGGGGGTCGCCATGTTAAAAGATGTTTTTCCTTATGCTTAAAGTTAGTATTTGCAAGGAACAGGCGGTTATCTGAGCATAGCTGCAACAGACGGTCGCCATTATCTGTTCTTTGAGCCACGACACCATAAGATCCACCTAGGTGTCTTTCCCTATCGCTTAGTTTACCTACTTGAGCATTAAAGTCACCGGCCACTATTACTACATCCGAGCGCCTAGCTTTTCGGAGAAGGTCCGAAAGCTTTCTGTAAAACTCATCTTTTACATCATCTGAGCTGCAGTCAGTGGGAGAATAGGCAGAGACGACGAAGAGGCAACGACGAGTGTCCCTATCTTTCCGGATTCTTACTGTTCCGTTCAGTCGGACAGCGCACAAACGACTGTCTACTGGGATCCACTCTAAGAGAGCTAGTTCTGCCCTAGGACTCAATGCTATACCTACGCCGGCGAGGCCACGGGAAGCAGAATCAGGGCTTCCAGATACACGAAGCGTAAATCGAGTCGGTTCTTTATTTTGGCATGGTGAGGTCAAATGAATGACGCTACTCGGATCCTGTATGCGCGTTTCGGAGACGCAGCACACATCGATGGCGCGAGATTCTAAAGTTTTAGCTAAGGAAGCCTGCTGTCCTATTTGGCAAAGTGTTCGTACGTTAAAAGCTCCTACGTGTAGTTTAGAGCGTGGTTTCAGGAGACCAGGAATGGCGTTCCACGTACTCGAATCGTTTGCCCTAGCGGTGCGAGGTGATAAAGAGACGTGAGGAGGGTTAGTCATGGAGATAAGAGAGGTATTAGGAGGTGTAGGAAGGATTTGAATGTGACCACCTTGGTCTCTTGTGCTGTTACGGGTATGAGGGCTGATGTCACTTCCCGGCTGCCCACACCGTGGAAGGGTATTTCTTGAGGAACCTGAAAAGGAAATTGGATTAGTGTTGGTCTTGACGACCTGGGAGCGTGACCGCAGAGCCCAAGGGACAACTGCTTGAGGCCGGTCGCGCACGGCCTTTTTGTGGAAGGTTTTTGACGTGTTAGCTCCGTTCTTCAAAGGGCCTTACCGCCGGAGACGGAAATCCGTGAGGTAAGGTGAGGTGTGACATTTTTAGGGTCGACCTTTTCTAACCCCACCCCTCCTTGTGGGAAGGCAGCATCGCTGTCATGCTGGTTGTCCGAGGGAAACACCTTACTGCTGTCACACCTCTCTACAGTCAGCAGTACGACTTCGCCCTCAGACCTTGAGTTGCTGCTTTTAGTCTTACCGTTCCAATCGACCTGCCTGGCATGGTAGAACCTACAGGAACATATGTTCCAGCCAATATAGCTCGGTTGGGTCATCACGATAGGCAAGCCCGACCACCGCGTCAAGGTAGCAGCTTCGGTCGGGATGCCAATCAACTGCAGAGATGGTTTCAAGATCATCATGAGTGCGAGTCACGAACTGCACTAATGAAGATAGCGGTACGGCGATCGGAAAGACTACGACGACACCTTATTGAAAGGGGAGACGAGTGTATTGTGTGCTACTTATGTCAACACAAGTATTATATGATGCTAGTCAGGAATAAAATGTGTGGCAGCAGAAGGTTGAGTTGGGAAAAACGGGAACAAAAATCAATTGTTGTGGAAATGCTGGAACTATGGAGTCTGAGACAATTAATGAACATTTTGCACAAGGAGTATTGTAGTATGGTTTTTCTACTTTATCAAGTGACTCTGTAAATATAATCGGTTGTCCTCACCTGTGTTTTCCTTTAGTTCAGAGGGATAGGCGAATAGTACATTCCATTGGAGTGATTTAACACCCAATCCAAAAATCATTACTATTATTTACTAGATTCACTATATAACCAGCTTTGATATGTTGTTCTACAATTTAAAAGGGAATTCGTATGTCCTAGGGGATTTACATTTTTATGTGTTATGGAAAGTTGTATTGTTTTCGTTCGTAAAGTCTCCGTATGCACATGAAGTAATAGAACTGTAGTTGTTATGAGTTTTCTTACTACGTCGTAGCTATCATGCTTAGTATTCTTGGACATTACTTCACTCGATAAGTCTTCGAATCAGAATACTGTTGAATAGGAACATAATTATATCCCATATAAACCAGGTTGGATAGAAGTAGAAATCATGATAAGAAACACAGTGTATTCATAATTTTTACATAAGGAGATTCTTGAGTCTTCTCTAAGTATCCGCTAGCAAGAGATGGCCAATCAGCGTGCTCCAACACAGTCCTGAACGGAATATGCTTTAATCTAATCTATGTCCTGCTAACAGTAGTCCTTATTTTCCTTGAACTGGTGTGATTTTCTGCAGTGTTTGCGTAATTTCTAATACGTTTTTTTTTAATTTTGCACATGTAGTTTGGGAATACATGCGTTTCAAATGAGTTTAGCGTATCAACATTTACCATACTTTCCTCGTATTCTGGAACTTTTATTACATGAAGTCTTGGAGGTTGAAGCTGCCTCCAAAATTCCAACGCCAGGTAAAAAATTCAAATACAACATCTGTCTTTCATTATTTTACTGTTTATTTGCACCTACAATTTGAAGGCTTTTTAATTTTATTGATAATTGTCAAAAGAGAAGTACCACGAATTTATTTGATCTATATAATACCTCATCGTGATATATTATATACTACTGTTCTCAACGCCTTGCAATTCTGTATTATTTCTACTAGTGTTTTCGTAAGAAGGAAGGATGTATGTGAAAGTTATCAGTTGAACCGTGAAAGTTTCACGTTTTATGCTTTTCATACCAAACACTGTTTACGAAAACCAGTTAAACGTTTCATGACATTGCACTCATTTTTTCGATTCTGCTATTTCTCTAAATTCGTTTTGTTTTATTATGAACAAAAACAGTTTTTGTTTTGTATAATTGAAGTCACTGATAGCACTCAGCAAATATCTGATTGTCTATTAACGATTGTTTATACTCGTAAAATTTGTCTCAGAATTTGAATACATAACATCTTTTAAGGGACACGGAATAAAATCACTGCTTTTAATTTTGGTTTACAAAACGTTAGTTTCATGTGAAAGAACTACGGAATAATATCAGAAATAAAGTTCTAGATGAAAACGATATGTCGATCAAAACCTGCGTATACACTGCTAGTTGAAATTCATTTCGTGTCATGAATTATGGTATGTTGGTTGGTTGTTCAATAATGATATTTCGTACATTACCTAATCGATTATGGTTTTTGTGATATATATATATATATATATATAATTTTCCTTTCCCACTGGTTTTTGGATATCGTTACTTTAACTCAGGTGTTAATTGTTCAAGTATTTATTCCGTATGATAGTATTGACCATTGGTCACATCGCTGGCTGAACAATTTATATGTTAACTTACCATGTTTTATCTCCAAGTTATTTGTTTGCTTCAGTGGGTTATCAGTAAATAGTCCATACATTTGTAAAATACAATGAACCACAAGTGTGCACTAAAACTCGAGAAATACATTTTGGGAACTGCGAACGAACCCGTACTTATATCACATTTAAATACATAATATTTGGATAACAAGCAGTCCTACACACTTCAGCACTCATACATGGTATTCTTATGATCTGGTTTTATTATAATTTACCTTATTTCATCTTTGTATACATGAAATTCATATCTCAGAGTTATTATATTGGTCCTTTCGACCTTGAAAATGACCTGATGTGTTGCGCTGCTGAAAACATCAGTACGACGGTTTGTTGTGTTATTTTTCTCAGCCATCCTGTTCTTTAATCCTTCGTGCTGGGAATTATAAATACTTCTTTTAATGTTTTCGCCCTTATATTTCACATACATTCTGATGTTTACTCAAGAGAATCCCTTTGAATAACTTCATTGTTATTCACTTGATTTTATGACACTACCGAATATGTTTTAGTAAGCTTTTTAATGAATATGTTCATTGTTTCGAATAATATTTTAGTAATTTTCTGTTACCGTTTTAGATCCATTACTACCGCAAGTTGTAGCATTTATTCAAGAATTCTCCGATTTTTTGGAGATTTTGGCCCATTGTTCTCGTAAAACCGATGTCACTTGGTGGCCTCATTTATTCATTACCATCGGAAGAAAACCAAAAGATCTATTTGAACTGTGTTTGGAAAATAATAAACTGGAAACAGCTGCTTCTTTTTTAATTCTTCTTCAAACATCGGAACCTCTTTCTGTTAGTTGGGAGGTAATGTTGTCACAAACTATTTCGTACGCTTCTACTTATCTTATATGTTGTAACCATAACTCTGCAACACATTCTTTTTACCAGTTTTGTTATTTCATTTAACGTTTAATTGTAAACTTTATTCCATACATTTCTATATACCATTTTTCGCAAAGCATTGATTTTATTTTCTCACAATGGTTCGTTCCGTATAAGTATCGAATTATTCGTACGAAAGGGAAACGACTATCATTCGTAAAAGTCTGTTTTTTTCTCGTTGATATTCAGAGTTGGAATCGGATCAACCTTTATTCATACCACCAAGGGAGGTCTCAATATTGCCTGTGGTTACAAGTTTTATATTTTTTTTAGATTACACATAACAGTGGAATCCAGAACATACATTTCGTTCTACTTGAGGTTCATTGGCTATGGGTACCTACATCCTAGTGTTAGTGTGCAAATTGATATCGATATAGATCTAGCTGAGGTGTCCTGCAATATGAAAACATATTAAAACCAAAAACTTTCTGAACTTCGAGACTAAACATAGTTTCTTCTTACTAATTTTACAATCCATAATATTGCTAATTTGATGTACCTTACTTACTTACTTACTTACTTACTTACTTACTTACTTACTTACTTACTTACTTACTTACTTACTTACTTACTTACTTACTTACTTACTTACTTACTTACTTACTTACTTACTTACTTACTTACTTACTTACTTACTTACTTACTTACTTACTTACTTACTTACTTACTTACTTACTTACTTACTTACTTACTTACTTACTTACTTACTTACTTACTTACTTACTTACTTACTTACTTACTTACTTACTTACTTACTTACTTACTTACTTACTTACTTACTTACTTACTTACTTACTTACTTACTTACTTACTTACTTACTTACTTACTTACTTACTTACTTACTTACTTACTTACTTACTTACTTACTTACTTACTTACTTACACACTTACTTACTTACACACTTACTTACTTACTTACTTACTTACTTACTTACTTACTTACTTACTTACTTACTTACTTACTTACTTACTTACTTACTTACTTACTTACTTACTTACTTACTTACTTACTTACTTACTTACTTACTTACTTACTTACTTACTTACTTACTTACTTACTTACTTACTTACTTACTTACTTACTTACTTACTTACTTACTTACTTACTTACTTACTTACTTACTTACTTACTTACTTACTTACTTACTTACTTACTTACTTACTTACTTACTTACTTACTTACTTACTTACTTACTTACTTACTTACTTACTTACTTACTTACTTACTTACTTACTTACTTACTTACTTACTTACTTACTTACTTACTTACTTACTTACTTACTTACTTACTTACTTACTTACTTACTTACTTACTTACTTACTTACTTACTTACTTACTTACTTACTTACTTACTTACTTACTTACTTACTTACTTACACACTTACTTACTTACATACTTACTTACTTACACACTTACTTACTTACTTACTTACTTACTTACACACTTACTTACTTACTTACTTACTTACTTACTTACTTACTTACTTACTTACTTACTTACTTACTTACTTACTTACTTACTTACTTACTTACTTACTTACTTACTTACTTACTTACTTACTTACTTACTTACTTACTTACTTACTTACTTACTTACTTACTTACTTACTTACTTACTTACTTACTTACTTACTTACTTACTTACTTACTTACTTACTTACTTACTTACTTACTTACTTACTTACTTACTTACTTACTTACTTACTTACTTACTTACTTACTTACTTACTTACTTACTTACTTACTTACTTACTTACTTACTTACTTACTTACTTACTTACTTACTTACTTACTTACTTACTTACTTACTTACTTACTTACTTACTTACTTACTTACTTACTTACTTACTTACTTACTTACTTACTTACTTACTTACTTACTTACTTACTTACTTACTTACTTACTTACGCCTGTTACTCCCAATGGAGCATAGGCCGCCAACCAGCATTCTCCAACCCACTCTGTCCTGGGCCTTCTTTTCTAGTTCCATCCAATTCTTGTTCATTTTTCTCATGTCTATTTCCATTTCCCGGCGTAATGTGTTCTTTGGCCTTCAGGATTCTATGTGGGGGCTTGTCTTGTGACACAGTTGGGTGCTTTCCTCAATGTGTGTCCTATCCACTTCCAGCGCTTCTTCCTGATTTCTTCCTCCGCTGGGATCTGGTTTGTTCTCTCCCACAGTACGTTGTTGCTAATAGTGTCCGGCCAACGGATCTGAATTATTTTGCGTAGACAACTGTTAACAAACACCTGTATTTTCTGGATGATGGCTTTCGTAGTTCTCCAGGTTTCTGCCACATACAGTAGAACTGTCTTGACATTTGTATTGAAAATCCTGACCTTGGTGTTGGTTGCCAGTTGCTTTGAGTTCCAGATTTTCCTCAGCTGTAAATATGCTGCTCTTGCTTTACCGATCCGCGCCTTCACGTCTGCATCAGATCCACCATGTTCATCAATGATGCTACTCGAATATGTAAAGGTTTTTACATCCTCCAAATTTTCTCCGTCAAGTGTGGTTCGATTGGTGCATGCTGTATTGTATCGCAGAATCTTCCTTTACCCTTTGTGTATATTGAGATCTACTGCTGCTGAGGCTGCTGCCACACTGTTTGTAGGGAGCAATTTCCTACAGGTTTAATTCTGAACTATTCTCTAGACCGTCGAATACAGAGTCTTGGTTTAGCCAAAGTCAGAACAAGCAAGCTATTTGGCTAGATAAACTTTGTCTGTTTCTAAAACATAAATTAACATCGTTAGTGTACAAACAATCTGTACGGTCTATTAATACAGGGAAAAAAACAGACAACATACCGAACAGTAGCCAGAGAATAGGAAGAATGAGTCAACAGGCAAATATTGTTTTACAATGAACATAAAACTGTGATTGGTTAATAAAGAGATACAGTCGTACAAGATCAAAAGGAGTTAATGTGGTGGTGGGCGTTTCCTTTTATTATTGGTGAGTTCGTCTATCGATCACATTTTACACTGTTCGTCTTCTCCTGCATTTGTTGTTGCGTTTGGGATAGAAGGGCCAGATCATCTGCGAAGTCTAGATCGTCCAACTGCATCCTAGATGTCCATTGTATCCCGCGCTTCCCTTCAGACGTTGACGTCTTCATGATCCAGTCGATCACCAGGAGAAAGAGAAAGGGTGAGAGTAAGCAACCTTGCCTGACACCGGTCTTCACTTCGAACGACTTTGTCAACTGTCCTCCATGCACAGTTTTGCAGTTTAATCCATCATATGGATTTTGTATGATATTGACTATCTTCTGAGGCACGCCGTAGTGTCGAAGAAGTTTCCATAGTGTTGTTCTGTCCACGCTATCAAATGCCTTTTCGTAGTCAATGAAGTTGATGTAGAGTGATGAATTCCATTCAATTGATTGTTCCACAATGATCCGTAGAGTTGCGATTTGGTCTGTACACGATCTATCCTTACGGAATCCTGCCTGTTGGTCACGAAGTTGGGCGTCTACGCAGTCCTTCATCCTGTTTAACAATACCCTGTTGAAGACTTTTCCCGGTATTGAGAGAAGAGTGATGCCCCTGTAGTTATCACACTTGCTGAGATCGCCTTTCTTCGGTATTTTGATCAGAAGTCCTTCTTTCCAGTCTTTTGGTACTTGTTCCTCATCCCAAATCTTATTGAAGAGAATGTGGAGTATCCTTGCAGTTGCCGCTACGTCTGCTTTTAGTGCCTCTGCTGTGATGTTGTCCGGTCCTGCTGCTTTGCCACTCTTGATTTGTCTGATGGCCATGCTGATTTCTTCAATTGTTGGTGGGCCAACATTGATTGGGAGGTCCGTGGGTGCTGCTTCGATGTTGGGTGGGTTCAGTGGAGCTGGTCGATTCAAGAGTTCTTTGAAGTGTTCTACCCACCTGTTTTGTTGCTCTTCAATGTTGGTGATTACCTCGCCTTCCTTGCTTTTCACTGGTCGTTCTGGTTTGCGGCGATTTCCAGAGAGTTTCTTTGTCGTGTCATACAGTTGTCTCATGTTTCCTTCTCTTGCAGCCTTTTCCGCCGTCGTTGCTAAATCTTCCACATATTTACGTTTGTCGGTTCTGATGCTCCTCTTCACTTGTTTGTTTACTTCTGTGTATTCAGCTTGTGCCTTGGCTTTTTCTGCTCTTGTTCGACTGGTATTGATTGCTGCCTTCTTGTTCCTTCTTTCTTGAATCTTATCCAGTGTATCAACAGTGATCCATTCCTTGTGATGGTGCTTCTTGTGACCCAGGACCTCATGACATGTTGAAGTGATTGCCTCTTTGATCCCCTTCCAGTTGCTCTCCACAGTAGTTCCTTCTCCATTGAGTAGATCATGAAAGGCCTGGAACTTGTTGCTGAGGACTATCTTGAATTTGTTGAGTTTGTTAGTATCCTGAAGAAAGGCCGTATTGAACTTTTGTGATATTGTCCGCCCCGTTGTCCAGTGCTTCTTGAGTTTCAATTTCATCTTGGCGACCAGCAAGTGATGATCTGATGCTATATCAGCTCCTCTCTTGGTTCTCACGTCCTCTATAGTCCTCCTGAACGTTTTGTTGATGCAAATATGGTCGATTTGGTTTTGTGGTGTGATCCGGTGAAGTCCATGTGGTTTTGTGTATGCGTTTATGTGGGAATATGGTGCCGCCTATGACCAGTTTATTGAAGGCACATAGATTTGCAAATCTCTCACCATTTTCGTTCCTTTCTCCCAGTCCGTGTCGTCCCATGATGTCTTCATATCCAGTGTTGTCCGTTCCAACCTTGGCGTTGAAATCTCCCATCAGAATGGTCAGGTCCTTTGTTGGGCACTTCTCGACGATTGACTGCAGCCTATTGTAGAATTGATCTTTAGCGTCTTCATTGTAGTCGTTGGTAGGCGCATAGCATTGGATGATGCCCTCTTTCTTTGTTTTGAACGAGGCTTTGATGATCCTTGGTCCATGAGATTCCCATCCTATAAGTGCATTTTGTGCTTGTTTGGACAGCATCAATGCAACTCCTTGTGTATGTGGAGCATTTTCATCTTCATGGCCGGAGTATAACAGAAGCTCCCCGGAAGTTAGTCGTTGTTGTCCAACTTGTGTCCAATGTGTTTCACTGATCCCAAGTACCTCTAGGTTGTATCTCCTCATTTCTGCAGCAATTTGGAAGGCTCTCCCGGTGTCCCACATTGTACGAACATTCCATGTACCTAAATAAATGGTCGCTCTGGTTGTCAGAAGGGGCATCGGCCCCGTAACTTCCGAAGGAATTCGGCTTTCATCATGAGGCGTCATAATTCTTCTAAATGAAGACCTTCTGACTCCCGGGGCAGAGTTTAAAAGGTTTGAATAATTTTTTCTGGTTAGCGTTTTTTAGCGATTTAGTTTTCTACGGGATGGGGACGCTAACCCCATGCCCAACCCTCCTCCTTTATCCGGGCTTGGGACCGGCAGTGGCCCCCGGAGGGACTTCAGGCGGAGTTTGATGTACCTTGTGATATATATATATATATATATATATATATATATATATATATATATATATATATATATATATATATATATATATATGCTTGAATTCCTTTTCACATTCAAAACATAAGTTGTTAATTATATAGCGAATACGAAGTATTTAATCATTTCTGATTATATCATCTTTTAGTTTTCTAGTGTATATCTTTCTCACTCAATCATGACGTTTGGTACCGTTTTTAAATTTTTTTAATAAGTTACATTTAGAAGTACTGTAGAATTTCAAAGATGAAAATGTAACTATTTACAATTGTGCGGAGAAATACTGTATTATAAAATTGATATTGACTCAACCAGAATTAACGAAATGAGAAAATCGATTGGTGCTAACCTGAAATATCCAAAGTACAGATGCGTCCCGTTAGCTGAGAAACTTATTAATTTCCTTAGATGTAGAAATGTACATATGAATGAATGTTTATGCATATAATTCGGGAGCTCAATAAATTTTTCCCCTTGACTCATGTGTCTTCTGTCACGTTTGGGGCGTAGCACTTTTGTATCCGTATCAGATCTCGAACACAACGCATCATAACAACAAACAATCGATTATTTCCCTCAAGAATTCTTAAATGTAAATGACTTGATAAAGTTATGAGAATGGGTTCTCAGTTGGAAACATTATTCGTATTGATTGAGATTAACTGTTCAGTATCACAAAAATGTTAGTTTTGTATTTAGGTTTGTTGAGTTATTTTCTAATTAACGTACTGAAAATTTTGCTTCAGTTTCACAGCGTTGCACATTTTCTCACTGTTGTAGTGCGCATTAACCTTGTTTCGAGCATCGCTTCAATCTATGAATTGGAATCTCATTCGTGATCTGTTACGTTTTCTGTGTGCTATTGGTAAGTAAATGTGATTTGAAAATTCTACTATCGCAACTTTAGAGTGATTATAAGCGGCTAAACGAAAGATTGTTATAAATGATCTTTCGGAATTTACTGTATTACCACGGTAAAATTACAGTATATTTTGCTACTGTTTTTATTCTTAAACTACAAATCTCTTAAAAACTCCAATTTTGTATGTCTAGTATTATCAGCGTCTTTTTAGCTAGTCGCTCCATTTTCCTGTAGCATCAACTTGCTTTACACAAATTAGATTTTTAGAATTAAACATTTCTTAACGTCATATGTACCATTCATCTATTAAAGTGAAAAACGTTTCAATTTTTTTCATCCCTCGTTTATCCTGTGTCATACAGTTGTTACAAATGTCCTGACAATTTACCAGCTAGTCGTCATTGCGTATTGAGTTTCCCGCTGGAACCCAGTAGTTGTTGTCAGAAATCTGAGTGGTTCATTTAAGGCCATCCAAGTACTTTTCTTCTTATGTAAGCCGTTTTCTTTGCCACCCATACTATGTTTTTGGCTAGCAGGTTTCGACTTGATATAACCGTATGTTTTTATTCAAGTCGGACTTCCATCTACTTTAGTGGTTATAGTTGTGCTTTTTATCGCTGCATATTTTAGTTTTCTCGTTCAAAATTCCCTGTACCGGTTTAATTACTGTTAATTGTATGGAGTTTCAACTAGACATTTGTGCGCAAAAAATTCTGCGATATCTACACCAACATAGCAGCACCTACCTCCGCTTAATAGTACAAAGCTTCTCTTAGATTTCAGAAGAATATCGATCACACGAATCTGTCTGATGCTTTAATTCACTCAAAATCATGTTTTAATTCAAACTGTCATATATAATCAGATCAGACAAGTCTTCAAAATTATCTTTTGTGAGAAAAAAATTATCGTATAAATGTTATCAAGTTTCTCAGTCCTATACCGTAGGGCGATTGCAATTATGCCACCTAAACCATTATTCTCTTCATGTGCATAGTAATTTTTGAATCTTTTTTATTAATACACGGATAAAATATCACTAGTTTTTAGATGATGTAAAAAACCTGAATGTGACTCAATTTCATCCATATAGAAACTCTATTCGGACTTATATTCAACTCCAATTTTCCAACTATCCAAATAATATTACTATTAATCTTCTTGTTTTAGGTTTTTCGTTGTTTAATTAGGAATTTCGATTGAATGTACTCATGTCTTTTTATTAAAAACATACGACCCATCCTAAAACTGATTACGGTAAAATTCAAGTTGAACCACTACATTGGTAGATTTATTTATCCCCTCATTCTTCAGAAAATGATGAATCTACCACAATAATATTCATGAAGGAAAAAATATCATGGAAGCTAAGATGGGCGAAAGCGTTTTCGCGCATGAAGATTAGTGGAAATTGATCACCGCTGAAACGCTTCTTTAACTATATTTGAATACTGTCCAGTAAAATGTGTATTGCATATTTTTACTGGGGATTCCTTACTGTAATTAAGTATGTAGTACTAACTTAAGTATTTGGTATAAATATCTAATCCCTTATATACATATGCGAATATACTTTTATTTTTAACTGTCCAGATCCAACTGAATATAGTTCAAGTGATGAGCATAGTAGAAAAAAAGACTTTAACAAATCCCACAATATGTACTTCAACCCATGTAATCATTTAAAAAATTTATCTAATCTTGATAATGATCATATGCAGTTAAAAGCCGGTCCTGAGGAATCTATCAACAAGGTCGTCTGGTATGGTGGAATGTCAAAGTATCGACCTACAAGAGTTCCTATCGAATTACTGGACTTAGGAAATGACCAAATCAAAGATTTGTGTAATAGAATCGAGATATCGTCTGACTCGTCAGTAACTCATATCCAAAAACCATCTTCCACTCTTCGAAATCAGCTTGAACAGCTCTTGTTTAGGGTTGCTGTGGATTATTTTTCTCAAGGTTACCTTAAACGTGCATCCCAATTGGTTACAAATATCCCCGAAATTTTTAATGATGGTTTTAGTACTGGTCACACAAACGTATTGCAAATGTGGTTAAATAAAAATATGTAAGTTATCTGTGGTTAATTAATTCAAGTCATTTTGACATTGAGTGTTATCTTTAAGTCGCATTATTTTCTATTCATTTTTACGATATCTATTCACGTGCTTTTTATCTTTATTTTCGTTTGCTGGTTTTATATTTTCTGAATTCTGAAAACTTGAACAAATGTAATTTTATGCAAGATTCTCTCATGTTTGTCTGTTTTACAAATGCTTCTAACACTGGCAAAAAGTTCACCAAGTGAATGAGTGTATAAGCTTTCGCTTGTCTTCGACAGCCTTCTGTATTTCATTTATCTTTACTTCTCCATCTGTCTACTGTCTTTCCAATCATCTAAAAGAAAATCCCACTTTATTAAAAACTATAATGTTAAACGAATTGATTATGTTGGTAATCAAGACCTTCTTACTATTCGTTTTCTTGATACTATATGTCTCATAATTACAATTTTGTTATTCTTGTTAAGGATTTAATGAAAACTCAACGTGTTTTGTTCAAAATCAAGGTAATTTTGTTGCTTGATTATATTTTTCTTGAAAAAGCTTGGACCAGATTGCCAGGCGAAACGTTGGATTTATCTCAAATTCTTTTGTTGGGATTTTACAAATACATTCTTCCTCTTTAATGTTTCACATTAATTAGGCGCCCAAATGTTGTGAAACTATTCGTTCAAATTTAGACGAAAGTTCTTATTCAAGGTTTATTTTGTCTCTTTATTATAGTTATAATATCCAACCCGAACCTAACTGGCCCCAGGTTTTCTTAAATTTGTTAAAAGAATTCAATTTAGTTGTGGTTGATTCTAACCGCAGTGGAGGAATATACAGTTGCTCGACTTCTCCTAATGAACCTTTGTTAAATTCGTCTATTATGGTACAGATTGATAATACATTTTCTGAATCTTCACCTTTTAACTTTGACTTCCGATCGTGAGTTTCGTGTTAACAAGCTTATTTGTATTTCTCTAACTAATATATTCACCTGTTTTTTATTTTTACTTTCAGTGGTTGTGTTTCCAATATGTGAACACTTAATAACTAGTATCATGTGAATATATTCATGAAAAATCATTTCATAGGGAACTAAGTGTAACTAAGCACTGATATATGGAGATATTCAACGGTAAACAAGAAACACATACAACCTAAACCTTACCAAGCTTCTAAAAATAGGACAAGCGGAGAATGTGAATCAATATTTCGCACACCAAAAAGACAACATTTCCTCATAATACACTTAGTTTTACTTGGTTAGTTATCAATAAGTCCTCAACAGTTTCGACAGTCATAATCCCAGGTCAATAGTAATGGTAATAAATACTTTATAGTAACTAATCAGAGTTAAGAACTGAGTACATAAAAAACTGTATGGATATTGTACATAATAATAAACTGAATCAAATTATGAACTAAATAGGGTTAGAAGGATTTTTAATACGAATAACGAAGGTAAATGGAAAATAATAAGTATATCACATGCTTGACAAGATTTTAATCCATGAAAATGCGACAAATATGATAGGGTGATAAATCAAGAGATGGTTACATAAGTACGGAAGCGATGTAAATAGATCGCTTGAATTTTGATGCGGTTAATGAATACCTTATGGGATCCTATTGTAATCAGTTTTGTTCAAGTAAAAGCTTCTGACGACTAGTCAGTATATCTTTTTATACAACTGTTTTTAACTGATGTACACTTTTATATATTCATAAGTAATCTGGCTAAAAAATTTTTGCTTAGAGTAGTCTTACTCCAGTGGGCTTGCGTAAAATATTTTTCTGTCTTTTTACTTTCTAGGACTTTTGATAAAGGGACTCTTTGTCAGTTACGATACCTGTTGAACCAGTTAACCTTAGCTCGTTCAAAAGAATGGATCTGCCTTATCAGTTTGCTTTGTCTAGATAGAGATGCTTTCTTACGGTCATTTAGTATGGCTTTCAACTGGACTATGTTTTCAGATTACTCTGAAATCCATCAGAATGTCTCTGCAACCGACCTTTGTCTAAAAAAGCTGATAACTGGTCTTTCAGAAATAAAACAGTGGTCACATGGCAAGATTCCTGCGTACTATTACTTTTTAGAGTCTTGTGAGCCTCACATGAAGTAAGTATAAGGTTGTTCTTTTCTTTAACTTGGGACTAGTTCAAAAGTCAAGTTACTTTTGCTTTTACGGCTAACAGTGGGTTTTTGCCCATCAATGTGTACATTCTACTTCCTCCGTCACTTTTCTTCAACATGAACTCTTAAATCTGTGTAATTAAATGATTTTTTGATGTTTTTTTGTCATAGTATTAGTTTTATACAATACAGTACAATTTATGTTCACTTCCCTCAACCTTATACATCTAGATTCTTTCTAATAGTACCTATTAATAAATACGCAATTTTCATGATGTTTCTCATTTGACCAGTACATACACTTAAAGACGCCGCTTATCTGCTAGAGATATAAAAACGTACATATCTGGGTCAGCTGACATTGTGCACAGTCAACCGATGGTTTGAAGTACTCATGGAATATACCTTACTTATGCTGTCATGTCATTATATACAACATACTTGCTTCTCATTCCTTCGTTTTCATCGTTGATTACACACAAATTCTGCTGTAAAACTCCAAAACCATGTGTATTTTACCTTTTTGCTGATACTCCTTATTTAGCCATGTCATTTTGTGCTGTTTCAGTTTGGAACTTTTTTCTTGTAATTCCCGAAAATTTTGTATACATCTTTTAAAATCAATATGTTCTTTCAAAAAGTTAATAAGTTTAAAGATTTTCACTCGGATTTAGTATACTGTAATTTGTTATTTCACGGTTACAATTCACTGACTATCGTTTGCGACGATTTCTGCTACTTTTTACATTGATTAAGTGCTTCTTTTTTTCCCTATTATTATTTTTATGACCATGTTTTGTAGTTGCCATTTGTATCTTTTAAGATGGTGTGTTTAAATAATACGTTTAAAGTACCTGATCGGTATTCGAAATTTCTCCGCTTTCTATTTGGATTAAATCCGTACTTTCTTTCACCTTTATCTTCAGCTCTAGTATTCCTTCTGATATATCTTTCCATTGAGTTTTTCCACATCATGTTCTTAGTGTTTAGTTCTGACTTTTAATTGCCACTACGACTGTCTCAACTCCCTTACGATTCACAATATTAATTTCATCTTACTTCACTGACATGGTATGCTAACTTGGGCTAGCTCATAATTCTACTTGTATTTATGTTGATTATGATGGACTAACTTCTGGCGGTGTGCAACGTTTTAATATAATGCTATTAATCGCCTATATATCTCATAAGCATGTGGTAATAGGCATCACATAATTTTATAACCTGTCGAAATATCGTATAGCTGTTCTATGCAAATCAATTTTCTTATGATTTTTTCAATTTTATTATTAACTACAGAAATCCACTCACAATGATGTAATTAAAGTTCGCATTATTTGGTTTCAGAGGCCCACATCTTAATATGTAGTAAGCAGTTCCTTATTACTATTTGCAGTATATTAAACAACTATATCTTTGCTTCTAGGGTGATTTTAGAAAAGATGTACCAAATTTCTGATGAGAAAAATAAGGTACCAATGGCATCAACATTTTCCGGCAACACTTTGATTGAAGATGATATCGTAAATGAAATTCAGAAAAAGCAAATGATGGAATTAAAGAGTTCATCCGTATCATCTATAACAGATACATACCAATATTCAAAAGCGTGTCAATTAAACTTGGGACAGGACTGTCTTATCTCACTAAAAGTAAGGTAGTTTTATATCGTTTTCCTTTTTACTAGCAGTTATCAATTTTCTTATTTATTTTTATTATTTGTTCAAACACATAAATATTGGTACAAGTGGGCACCAGATATATATGCGCCACACAAAACAATGAGAATGGGAAGAGAAAAAGAAGGGTAAGATGCATATAAGAGAAAAAACAATGACGACCACAGATTAGTGTGTGTTACTGTAATAATAATGATAATAATAATAATAATAATAATAATAATAATAATAGTGGTGAAAACGGAAAGGTGCAACCAGAAGAATTCTTTTAGTTAAGGAAGTTACAACCACATTTTTATGAAGAGAGTAAAAGAAGGTTGCAGCAGGATCACCACTGGCTTCTATTGTGAGCCGTATCTGATAACGTCTCTAGCCACTGTTTTGCACCATCTCTCGGACCCCAACCAGAGAGTCGTGAAGGACCAACAGAAGCCGCCCTTTTTCAGCTTTCTTTCATACCACAACACCATGTCATACACTGACCACCTCTCCGCTTCTTCCAACCAGTCCCAGAGTCGGCAAATGATGCACGATGTGGGATTCTGTGGGACGACATTCGTAGAACATTTCCAAGCCACCGAAGTCGATGGTGCAGATTGCATGGCTTGGGCATTATCGCACAGTAGGACAATATCATCCGCATACTCAAGGTCGATAAGTCTTTCTCCAGGCAACAGACCCACACCGCCATTACTTACATCCGTCAGAGCTGTTTCCAGAATGTCATCGATGGGAAAGTTGAAGAGGAATGGTAAGATTGGGCAACCCTGTTGACACAGTGAGTCTGCCCAGGGAGTTGGAAAACCCTGATTCCAAACCAATGGTGCACATGAGCTCCAGTGTCCTGAAGGAACAAATGGCGTATGAACCAACTGTTGGTCACCGGCTATCATGGGACTGCATCTCGTCACGATGCTCCACTACCTTGTGGGTCAGACCTTTAGGTCAAAGGCTCGGGGTGTGGCCTCCTAAGAAAACCACTTGCTTCGGTCTGGGCACCCGGACAGTATCACAGCCCACACACAAATAGAATGAAATGACGATGTCTACTGAAAATACTATCAACCTTCTCTCTTCCTCTGAGTGTTATTATAAGATAGTAAATGGTAATTAATATATCCTATACAGATTAATTTGGTTGTAATTACATCTGTACGTTAGTTGAAACTGTCGATTTGACTCGTTTACAGAGAATAAGATCATGTACTTCGCGTCTACCACATTTTGCGTTATACTACCGATTTTCCAAAATCGAATTAGACTACGTGAGGTTTTGACCTGAAATCCAGTCATTGAATGTCACGTGTTTTCACTACTAATCTGTCTACTAAATCCATCTATTGCTATAAGCAAATTTTCATTTTTTGCAGCACCTTCATATAAATACTTCCCATTTATTTTATACTGTCAAAAATAATGTGCATATCTTAGATAAAGTTAATATACTGAGGAATATTTATTATTACTATCGCATTAACGAAAACATGAATTATGATAACTTCCGAGTACAAAAAAAAGTAAGGTTTCGTTTTAAATAACCTAATAACATAACGTTGCGTGCCTATTCTTATCGTGTAGGCTTCAACTTAATAACCGTTATGACGTTAACCCACCTACAATGCAGGACAGAGTTTTAGATGAAATGCGTTAGGAACAGCTTATTTGTATTGTTAATTTCAAACGACACGAATAGCAAGCGGAACAATGAATATTGTTTAGTAAGCATATATATATGAAAATAATATATTTGTAATATCCCAATGAGTAGAAAATTGGATTTTTTTGACGTTTCGTGGCTTAGTGTAAGTCACTTCTTCAGAGAATAAATAACCAAATTAAATTAATCCAAGTTTAAATAGTACAACGGAACAATGCAAGAATAATATTTGATCAATCAAAAACAGGTCTGAACAAGTTGATGTATGTCATTTCTGTCAAGGTGATTCATAAGTGATAAGTATGTAAATTTGTGTATGTATGTGTGCATTGTTTAAGAATGAAAACTGTGTGACCTATATGGTAAGAAAGGATAGAGTTTAAATTTGTAATATGATAGTGTGAAATTGTAAATACGATCAGACTGAATGGTTAGGATAGATGGTCCAAGTAGGATGTATGGTAAGGCCTTCTTTCTATTGAGAGAAGTAGGATTAAGCATTATATGGAACGCCTCAGCTACCCTCCTTTCTTTGTAGTTGGAAAAGCCTTTTTGCAATATTTTGATATTTTTAAAATCGATTTGGTGGTTGTTGAAAATGGCATGAACTGCTATTGCCGATTTAATTTGAAGTTGGTTCAATTCTACAGGATTGTTAGGAGGTTTCTTTGTGTACCTAATATGTTCTTTGGCTCTAGTCAAGATTTCGCGGGATGACTCTCCAATATAATAGGCATCACAATCGATACAACCTAATTTGTAGACGCAGTTCTGTGTGGACATGAAAGGGATTTTTTCTTTCAGGCGAACTAAAGTATTACGTAGTGTGTTCGTTGTTTTGTAATACACTTTAATTCTGTGATGTTTTAAGATTCTTTGAATTTCTTCTGTTGTGCCATGACGGTATGGTAGGACTACAGTGCCAATCCAAGGCATTTCATTCGAATCATTATTATAATGTAATAAACTGTGTTGTTTTAATATGCTTCTAATAATCTTCATAGGAAAATTATTAAATTGTAAGATGCTAATTATATTCATTTGTTCTTTTTGTTTGTCTTCCTCTGATGTGATGATCTTGTTAGCTCTTCTAAAAAGATTTAAGGCTAGCGAGATCTTAGCACTGAAAGGATGTGCTGAATGGAAGTCAATATAACGATTTGAATGCGTCGGCTTTCGGTAAATGGATAGGTTTAGACTTCCATTTGGATTTCTTTTTACTAAGCAATCCAAGAATGGTAGCTCACCATGTACATTTTCATTTTCATTCGTGAATTTGATGTGCGATGAAAGTGTATTAATTCGTTTTGAAAAAGATCTTAGATGAGTCTTTTTTATAACAACAAATGTATCGTCTACATATCTAAGCCAAATTCGTGGTATAATGTTGTGGGCGAAGATATTTGATTCTATGTATGCCATAAAAAGGTTGGCTACAATCGGGGACACGGGGGATCCCATCGCTACACCGTTAGTTTGTTTGAATAACATACCGTTAAAAGTAAATAGCGTTGAATTTAAGCAAAGTTTTAAGGATTTCATGATTAGACTGATGCTCAACGGACATCTGTCAGGAAGAGTATTGTCGTTCTCAAGTAAACCACTAATGAATTCTAAGCATTTATCAATGGGAACACTTGTGTATAAAGAAACGACATCAAAGCTTACCATGATTTCATTCTTCTCGATGATTAATCCGGATAATTTTGATTTAAAGTCATATGTGTCTTTAATTATATTATGTAAGTTGAGTTGTAATGGTTTTAATATATTGCTTAAATATTTCGATAGTGCATATGTTGGGGTGTTTGTGAAGTCTACTATTGGTCTTAAAGGAATATCTGGTTTATGAATTTTTGGTAAGCCATAAAACCGTGAGACATTACATGATTTGGGATGCAAGGCAAACCAAAGCGAGACCCCAATGATTGGTTTTAGCTCGTTCAGAAGTTGATTTGTTTCTAATTTGACTTTATTCTTAATCGTTAGAGAAGTTTTGGGATTGATCTTTTCATAAGGTCCCGTTGAGAGATGTTCAAGAGCTTTATTAATATAATCTGTTTTATTCATGATTACTGTTGTGTTGCCTTTGTCGGCTTTTGTGATGATAATCGTTTTGTCTTTTTTAAGTGAATTCAGAGCCTTCAATTCTTCTTTTGAAATGTGTTTTTGTTTCGTCAGAATATGGGATGTCTTTTGACGTAGTAAATGCGACTCTTTTTCCGGTAGTTGTGCGATCATTGGTTCTATAATCGGAGCGATTTCAAGAGTGCTAAGTGGTTTTCTGTGTAAATTGAAGTTTAATCCCTTCTCTAGTAGAGTGATTTCGTGACTGTTTAAGTTTCTGTTGGAGAGATTATGAACCGTTCTAATTTGGTTATTTATTCTCTGAAGAAGTGACTTACACTAAGCCACGAAACGTCAGAAAAATCCAATTTTCTACTCATTGGGATATTACAAATATATTATTTTTATTTATAACAGTCAACCCAATGCTCAATTTATTCGAAATTATCAAATCAAACCTTGGTAATGACACCTATATATATATTTAGGTGAATTATTGCAGGCTTAAATAACGGTCTGTCCACTAATTCGCTTAATCCATAGATAGTTCATTTAAACATGTACAAACGTGTGTGTTAGTAAAGCCACTGTAATAATATCTGTTCTTTCTACGTGTTCTAAAGTTTATTTTGTTTGTTATGTTGCAAAAATTAGCTTTTTTGGATACCTAGAGATAATAGGTTATAGGAACTTTTCTGGTTGGTCTATTAGATTTTTAACTTCGTGAGTCTATTTGCTAAATATGCAATTAGAAATGAACTGACACTAAACTAATGCACGTTCCTTAGTCTACAGTGTGTGCTGAATATAAACTGTTTCCCTACTATTTGTTTTGTCTTTATCATGCCCTTCAGTGTTTAATTCTATTTGTCTTTGCTTCGCACACCCTTCGTTACATTCTGTACAATAGAGTAATAGACTTTGAAAACATCGGTTTCTCAGTTTTATGTTTGATATTAAAAGTATTCTCTGTTTCAAAACATAATACCAGTTTTAAATCCGCGTCGGTGGTTGGAAAAATAATGAGTTAATATCTTATAACTGAATAATTGTTTAGTCTTACAAATTTAGTGTCCGAATTATTATTGGGACTACATGTTGTTTGGAAAGTAGTTTAAGTCATATAGAGTATTTAATTATGAGTACTTATGCGCTTAAATGTCTTTTTCCTGTTTGTATTTCATCTACAGGTAGCGAAAGTAAGTCCTAGTCTTTTGGATCTTACCTTGTCGTCTGCAATGGATGAAGCAGTAGTTCTTAAAAATAACCCTGTTGACCGTTCAGGACTTTTGGATTCACACCACACATCCCTTAACAATTCTAGTTGTTCGACACCAATTATTCTTAGTAACGAAGCTGCCATTACTAAACATTGGACGTCTAGTTATCCTGATCGCTGGAAGTCTGTAGACGATCCTGGCCCACTAGGGCGTCTTGTGGTTCTTAATCTCAATGAAACGGATAATAGTAACAAAAATGAATATTTATTTGATGGAACAGCTGAAAATTTTGCGGTTGGCTCTTTACACACTGAACAACGAACCTGTTCTGTCATGTAGCTTTTTATGTACAACTTTCAAGAAATCAGAAGTCATGAATATGAGACAACTTTAATGTTGAAGAAAAAAGATGAATGTAAAAATGTATTTTCTTTATTCATTATATCAAAATTATTTGTCTGATAACACTGTGGTATTTTGGCAATCCATTTATCCTCAACATTTAAGGAAAATCTTAGTTTTCTTTTCAGTGCTTTAAATGTAAAAGGGATTTTTTGAAACAAGATTCAGTTAATCATACAGATTTCTAATTTGCAAATTAGTCTTGCTTATTCATTTATTAAAAATAATTACTTCCATTCAAAAATAGATTGAAGTGTTTTTGGATGAAGCAACTTCTGAAGTACATTACAAAGTTAACAAGCCTACTTCATATAATAAACTGTACGAAGAGAGTGCAGAAGTTATAAGCTTTTTTAGAAAAGTAGTTTGACCAAAACTCTCGTTGGGGACGTTAGATCCCCGGAACTCACTTTGGAAAAGACCTAATTTTGTAATTTTATTTAGAAAATTTGAATTTCTTTGTTTTCGCGCCAGAAGCGCTCTTGTCACCTTCATGTCGTATTCCCTGCTGGGAAATGTCTTAAATGCTATTAGTCCGTTGCGTCTTTTAGTATGCTATTCGGTAACTCTTCCCAGGGACGGTTTTGTACTGTATGTATACGTTTTGAATTGTGTTTGTTGTTATCGCTTGTTTCTGGCTGCTTGCAGAATATACTTCCCCATTCCAAGCTTGAACTTCTCCCTCTAGTTAGCGGGGCTGGGACGCATCAATAGCTAGCTTACTGGTCTTCGGTCGCCGAATCTTGTTTCTCGTTCGCAGATTAAGTGAACCCGTGATAGCTTCAACCCTAGCAACTCTTCATTCAACTTTTATACTGTTATTTTACTTCAGCCTATAATCTATTTGCTACTACTTCTAGAAATGGTTTTTCTGTCTCAGTTAAAAAACAATGGCATGGCACAAAGACCGATAACATCTCAATAATATCTTACATAAATCTTAGTATTAGTGCACAGCTTAAAGTGTTAATCTAGTAGCTGTTACCAGAAGCGTTAGAAGTTTTAAAACTTGTTTCTTATAAACTGTCAGTTCTAAAATTAACTTGTCACCGATTAATGATCAAGTTTATTTAGAAAAAGTTCTGCTATCGTTTTTAAAATCCATCTGTATTCCGCTGTACATTGGGTTTCTTTTTGTTTTTCTCACTTAAGACCACTGTCTAACACATTCATATTATCTATTTTCACCCCCCCCCTTTAAGTGTATTGATTCACTTAAAATCTTAGTGTTATGACACTTGGTTTTACTTCGTCTAATGTTATAACGGTTGGGTTTACATGTATGGCACGTTAATTTACCTTAAACGATTATCTACACTAGATTCCCTCCCAGTGTCTGTTCTACAGGACTTCAACACAACTCAGATCAAGAACACGTAATTAGCCTGAGCACAACGTAAATATATTTCCACACTAAAAACCCGACACAATCCAACAACAATGAACAATCAATGATAAGTGCGTCATAATAATAATAATAATAATAAGGATAGGGGAATATATAACTCATCTGACACCTGTCAGACTATCTACATGTCTGACTAAGCAGACAACCAATCATTCTCGCCCACACATCACTTAGATTTCAATTTTTGTTCGGAATCCACTTCTTAACATTCGAATTCTTAGTTGCAATAATTTGCTCAAACGTGTCGACATGTTCTGTGGATTACTCAAAATTTTCTTGTTTGCTAGCTGTTTCTACTAATAATGTAGCCTACTTGCTTCCTACTACAAATAAAACACCATAATCAATTTCCAATATGTTATACATAAATCTTGGAGTATTATAGTCTCATCAATCTTTTGTAAGTGGCACAAGGCACTCACCGTTTTTTTAATTTTTCATATTATGTACCGTCACATAGCATGTCGAAAACTGGCTTCGTCATTCTGTCATACAACCTAATATCAGCAGTAAATTGCCAAGACATGTTTAATCAGGTTTATAACTTGTTTGTTGTTTGATACAAAATAATACTATCGAGATCTTCAGTGAAAAAAGTGACTGTTTGACTTGACTTCTATAGTTACGATGTTCTGTCATCGCGTACGACGAAATAACACAACTCTGAAAAATTATAGGTGATTTAGAAATTCACTTCTCGTCCATGGATGTAGTCGTATTTCTGTTGTGTCGTGTAGCTTAATTCTCATCCGTTATTATGAGGAATAATCTTAAAACTCAATGTTAAGTAAGAAATCGTTTTTATTTGTTATGCTCCGTACAGAGACAACAGGTAAATAGTAAATAAATTTCCTTGGTCTTTATCAACCTTCTTCATTGGAGTTTAATGTTTTATTAGTCAGTGTTTTGGCTTTTAAAAAAGCACGTTTATAACTGCACAAATCATCTCACCATAAAACCCATTTGTGGGTTCCAGTTATCCTCTATTTCGTATAATTGTTTATCTTTTTCAACTAAACGAATATGCTTTGCACGGAAACGAAATTCAGGGTATGCGGACAAAACGAGTCTTTGATAGCTCTGAAGGAAAAAATCAATATTTTAATGCTATAGTTGAACATATTTCGACATATCAGGGTTTTCATATTCAAACATGTAGGCCAGTGGTGTGTTCGACTTTGAGCCAATAAGTTATGGGTCCGGACCTCGTCTACTTCAACTTGAGCAACTGAGTATTATCAACAGCCTCCACGTCAAGAAGACTCCTCAGAGCTCAACTTAACGACAAAAATGTTAACAAGATACTTCAAGAAAAACTAGAGAACCAGCTATTCAATCGTCAAAGTGATGCGGAATGACATGATATCCAGACAGCAGTGATATCTACCAATAACTTAAACCAAAAGGTTTAAAAACAATCAACGAATTTCATCAGCGTCTACTGAACTGATAGATACTAGGAAACTCATACTATCGAGTTCCAAGCACGATATGTAGACTGACAGAAAGTTTACCCAATGATAGTAAGCGGTGGCGGGGAGCTAATTCAAAAGAGATGGAAAAGGCGGGAGTTGTAGTCGATTTTTCAAGTTTATCAAAGAAACAGATATTAGGAATTTACGAGTTAAGGATATTATTTTTAAACAAGATGGGATAATGATCCACTTTTAGCCCAAGAGATTGAGATGAGGAAAACGCTGAAGAAAAATCCAAATGTTACCGACCTACCCTTCAGTTGTTTACTTTTACCAAGCAATCTAAATAGGATGCCAACATACACCCTCTGACTCTTAATGAGACAGAAGTCATAGCTAATCTAAAGCGAGGGAACGCTCTGATGGCTTAATTTGGGGGATTTTCATGGGAGAGGTAGTCCAGTTTTATCTGTTAGATTGGCTGAGACCTCCGTTAGAGTCTGAGAAGTGAACGCGATCCCATCTGGGTGGTCTTGATCTCTGATCGTTCCAGTCTATAAGAATTGACAGGAATAGTCTTGTGATAACCACAAAGGAATCAACTTGGTAGTGTCTAAAGTATTCCATTCCATCTAGGCGAACAGCAAGTGATGATCTGATGCTATATCAACCCCATCATCCTCCTAAAATGTTTGTTGATTCATAGTGTGATCCGGTGGAGTCCATGTGTTTTTTGTATGTGCGTTTATGTGAGAATATAGTGCCGCCTATGACCAGTCTACTCAGGAAACATAGATTCTCAGATCTTTAGCTATTTTCGTTCTTTTTTCCTAGACTATGTCGTCCCAGGATATCTTCATATCTGGTGTTCTTCATTCCGACCTTGGCGTTAAAAACTCAGAATTGTCAAGTCCTTTGTTGGGCATTTCTCAACGATTGACTGTAGCATATCGTAGAAACGATCTTTAACATCTTCATTTTAATCGTTGATAGATGCATAGCATTTGGTGAAATTCATTGTAATGCTTTCTTTCCATGTTTTGAAGGCGGCTTTGATGATCCTGGATCCATGAGATTCTCATCCTATAAGTGCTTTTTGTGCTTGTTTGGATAGCATCAGTACAACTCCTGGTGTTTGTGAAGAATTTTCTTCCCTGAAATTAGTCTTTGTTGTCCAAACTGCGTCCCATGTGTTTCACTGATTCCAAGCACATCCAAGTTGTATCATCTCATTTCTTCATCAACTTGGATGACGTTCTCGGTCTCCCAAATTGTTGGAACATTCCATGTACTTAAATTAATGGTTGCTCTCGTTTTCAGAAGGGGTATCAGCCTCGTGATTTGCGAAAGAACTCGGCTTTCATTAAGAGACGTCATAGGTCTTCTAAATGACGACCTAACTCCCGGGACAGATTTTAAATGATTTGAATCATTCTTTTCTGGTTGGCGTTTTTTAGAGAGTTATTTTTCTACGGGATGTGTGTAGCTGATCCCATACCAAACCTTTTTCCTTTATCCGGACTTTGAACATGCAGTGGCCTCAGAGGTAGTCCAGGAGGAGTTACAACTTAATACACCTGAAAAATACAGCCGCTTCTATGTGATTTAAATTGACGAGCTTCTGGATTGTATATTTTTACATATACCAGAATGTCATGAAACGAGACTTAGTATTTGTAGCAAGTGACCGTGGCCTTCAAATAAGTGAGATGATTTGGGCTGATTCTTCATCAAAGCTTCAAGAACGACAATCATCAGCTGAACTACATAGTAATCTTCATTTCGATCAAAAATGACCTTATCGTCGATGAACTGGCATCATATGTACTTACGTACGCCTGTTACTCCTCGTGAAGGAACATAGGCCGCTCACCAGCCTTCGCCATCCAACCCTGTCCTGGGCAATCCTTTCCAGCTCCTTCAAGTTGTTATTCATTCTTTCCATATCTGCTTTTATTTCCCGACGTAATGTGTTCTTCGGCCTTCCTCTTTTCCGCCTTCCTTCAGGATTCCAAGTTAGGGCTTGTCTCGTGATGCAGTTTGACGATTTGCGTAGTGTATGTCCTATCCATTTCCATCGTCTTTTCCTAATTTCTTCATCTGGAAGTTGGTTTCTTCTCTCATATAGTAGGCTATTGCTGAAGGTATCTGGCCAATGGATGTTGAGTATCTTGCGTAGGCAGCTATTTATAAATACTTGTACTTTCCTGATTGTGGTTGTTGTAGTTCTCCAAGTTTCAGCTCCATACAGTAGAACTGTCTTGACGTTCGTATTGAAGATTCTCACTTTGATATTGGTTGAAAGTTGTTTTGAGTTCCATATGTTCATCAATTGTAGGAATGCCACCCTCTCTTTGCAAATCCTCGTCT